TAGTTTTAGGGAGAATTTTAAGAGCCCCCCAATTTTTTTTTTTTTTTTTTTTTTTTCTGAGGTTCAAAGAGATTTAGTCTCCCAGACAAGCAGATGAATTAATATGACAACACATTTCTTTCTGTGCTTTGGAAAAACTTCATTCTTAGTTTGCAAACAGTACTGATCTTAAGTGTTAAAGAACTTAAGTACTTCTCTTGGATATAAACGGAGTCCTTGCTGTAGCAATTAACATTTCTTCAAAGTACAGAGAAGTTACACAAAGATCTTGCACAGAGCCAAAAGGGCTTTATCAATATTTAATTTGCTAATTTCAAGTGAATTGTCATGGGGATTTCTTTATTTTTGTTTTGTAGCTCCAGAAGTGCTCAAAAACGAAAAGTACACATTCAGCCCGGATTGGTGGGGCCTTGGGTGCTTGATTTATGAAATGATTGAAGGACAGTCTCCATTCAGGAAGCATAAGGAAAGGGTCAAACGGGATGAAATTGACCGGAGAGTAAAGGAAGACCAGGAAATATACTCAGACAAGTTCTCAGAGGAGGCAAAATCCATCTGCAGGATGGTGGGTGAAGAGACGTAGAGGTTTGAAAATTAAATTTCTAATCCTTCTTAAGAGACAAACTACTTTATTTTAACGTCTTCTATTGAAAATTTTTCAAAGCTGGAGTTCTTAAATCTTTCTTTGGTTCAGATGGAAGTTTGTGATTGTCCATGAATTGTTCAGTTATCAAACTTTGAGAATTCAGAGATTTTCAGGATGAAGGAAGGCTGCATAAATTGATTTTCCAGCATGTGAATGAAAAGGCCCAGTGCTCCTTGGACCACGTGTAATTATGGATGGAGTACAATAGCATTCTCAAATTTGATACTGTACAGGGAGAAATGTCAGAGTAGTATACTAGTTTCCTTGCCTAAAAGAGTCTGTATGAGACAACAGCTTTTTTTTATCTTTCATGTTCGTAAATTCAACAAGAAGCACGTCTATACAGAAAGCTTCAAAAGTTTTCTTTACTGGTTTATGCAAAATATGTGCATTACTTAAGCCCATTGGAATGAAAGTAAGTGTGCATTTCCTGAAAGTAAAGTCTGCTGCAAAGTCAGTACTGGAAAATCTGTTCAGCATGCCATCAATTAAAATATTTCTATATAACTTTGTGTATAATCTTCAAATGGTCTGCTTTCAGGGATTCTTTTGTCTACTGAAAATCTTTTTGCTCCCAGAATGTTGTAGATTTCCAACTCCTTTTGATACAATGATAAATTTCATCTAGTAAAAGGCCAAGTAACTTATTGAAAGACTTTGTGTATATATATATTTTTTTTAATTGTGGGATTATTTCACTGGAACAGCCTTTTTTCCCATATCTTTGCAGTTACTCACTAAAAATCCAGGGGAACGACTGGGTTGCACTGAAGATGGAGCTGCTATTGTAAAGCAACATCCTATTTTCAAGAATATTAACTTCAAGAGGCTGGAAGCTAACATGTTAGAACCTCCATTCTTGCCAGATGTAAGTAGGTGAGACAGATTTGATTAGTATCTAAAAAGGCAAGAACTGTTATAATTCCATGTCAGCAATCATGTAAGCTCCAGAGAAACCTTTAAAGTTAGTTAAATTGGCAGGTGAATGCCATTGTAGCTATTGATGGCTAGTTGTTTCGTGGCATTTCACCTGAGATCACAAAACAGTTTACAGTAGAGTTATTCCTCTAGGGAGCTTTGTAGCTGATTTCTTAGCTCTTAAAAGTCTACTTCCCTAGCTCAGATGCTGAAAAAATTAAGATGAGTTTTGAAGAAATTACTTTGGAGTTGAAAGGAAGGTGACAGAAGATGAGTGAATTATGACAACCATTAAGAAATACTTAGAAGCTGCATGCCTTTTCTGGTTTTCTTGTTTCTTTTCTGTTATACCACCAAAAAAACCAACAGAAAAACCCCAGAACCAAAGCCCAAAACCTTAATGAAGCAATCTTGTATTGTACTGCAGCCACGTGCCGTATATTGTAAAGATGTCCTGGACATAGAGCAGTTCTCAACAGTAAAAGGAGTGAACCTGGATACTACAGATGATGACTTCTATTCCAAATTTGTTACAGGTTGTGTCTCAATCCCTTGGCAAAACGAGGTATTGTATGTTTCATAAAAGATTATTTTCTTTAGCAGAGCAAATAGGGATATAATGGAAGTGATATAATTATAGTATTAACTTTGTGAGATGTAAAGAAGTTTCTGCTTTAAAATTCTTTGCTGAGAGACTTCACAAAGTCTCTTTGAAAAACTTTGTTTTTTCCCAAAACATAGACAACTTGCTAAAAATCTATGGTAAAGTTGCATAAATAGAATCTGGCATCTTGTCATTGGATACAGCCTACAGAACGCTATTTAGCATCAGTGTGGCCGCATTTTCCTTGTTCTTCTATCCCATTACTCAATATTGCTGTTCATAGAAGGAGAGAATTCTGTTCAAAGTATTCAAAAGCAAATAGGTGCAGTGCAAGCTGTTTGTGTATCATGCCTCTGTATCAATAGAGTATCTCAGTGACATAGTAATACAGAACTGCAGATTCACCTTTTCAAAGCAAACAATTCAACATCAGTTGAGTCAGACTTTCTCTTAAAGCTTTTTCATCTAGTGATGAGTATTCTAGTATTCTGCATAGAATACTAGAATTTTGCTACCTCTGTGTGTGCAGTTCATTGTTCAGGAAATTCAAATATTATTATTTCAGGAAGAGCACACAGTAACGTTTATTTAAAATTGTAGTTCTTGTTATGAATGCCTTCCCCCCATTATAAGAGGTTTCTAACTTTTTGAAATTAGTATTGTCTTGAATTCTACTAGTATCATACTTCCCCAGTGTAATTTTTTTATTAAAGCTTGACCACAAAAGATGTGCAATTTCTGAACAAGTCAGAGAAAAAAGTACATTCCCTTTTGTTTCCCTTTTGGTTTTTTTGCATTACACTAAGGAGATTTGAAAGGTGTCATTTGACACAGAAAGTCTTCATTAAAAAGCAATGAACCTGACGCTGTTGGAGAAATAAATATTTCCTGTGCTGTAATTCTGAACTTTAGAATATGATCCAGTCATTAAGTAATGCATTGCAGCTTAATAACATTAACCCCACATAGAGAGATCAAGTTGAAAGTAGTTGTGGAATTCTGGTGATGGCAATTCCTTCTCTTCAATGAATAACTGTGCAGACTTCATTTTACATTTGTACTTTTTTTTTCTTCTAATTCATGTTACTGAGCTTTCCCTCAAATCTTTGCTCTCGGTCTCTTAAGAATTCCTCCTCCCCTCCCATAATTTACCTAATGTCATGGTTTACAAAAGCAGACTGCATTTCTTATTCCTCTTTTTTATGCCCTCTCTCCCTCTACAAGCTATACTCGTTTACCCTTTGTAAAAAGTATCCCCTCTGATATTTTTCTGCATAGAATAATCATTTCTGCTACTCAATGTCGTGTTTATTAATAAAGTTGAGTCCAGGGTGTGAAGAGATTATATTTGTTAGGTTAGACTGCTCTGAAATGAGCAGAATAGATGAAGGGAAAAATCAATTTCTGGTTCTAAAAACTTCTGCTTATTGCATCATTGGCAGAAGAAACACCTTACCAAAGCAAGGGAGCAACTGAGTATTTACCTGCACGATAGTGCTCTTGTTGCTATTCTTTAGTTCACTGGGTGCACAAGGAGAGTTAATGTAGACTTGGTGCCTTCCTTCATGGAGCTCTGTGAGTGGTATAGTTTGGCTGATGAATTTCTAAGTTGTTAGGAGTACCCAGCCATAGTAAATAGATAATACATGGAACTTGTTTGAGAGGCTTGTATTGATATTTCATTTATATTTCATATGTTTTGAAGATGATTGAAACAGGATGCTTTGAAGATATCAATGCATGTGAAACTGATGGTACTGTGTCACCAGACAGAGAGAGGTCTCCTAAACCAAAGAGAGGCTTCTTTCACAGACTTTTTAGTGGAGAGGTAAGAGTGTTTCTTTTCTTCCATAAGAAAGTAAGACCTTAACATCCATTCAAGTTTTGTATTATTTTGTGTTAGGAAAAATAAGTTGTTGTCTGAATACTGAAATGAATGAAATCTGGTTTATTATGGCTTTGCCCCTGCACTGCATTTTAGAAACTGTGGCAATCCCTGTAACTCCTGGAGTTTTCCCTTCCTCAGCATTCTATCTTCCTGTACTGTCTGCTAGCTGTTACCTGGGGAAAAGGTAGTCTGTGCTGTTAACAGCTGTGCTATAGACCTTTCTTTCCTAAATATATTAATTTGGCTCTTGCTCCTCACTTATTTTGCCAGTTTTTATAAAAACTTCTGGGGAGATGACTTCAAAGATAATTGAGGCCCTGTCTGTAAAAATGTAAATAAAATGGACTAATGAACTCAGAAGTAAGTGTGGTGGACCAATGCAACTCCTAGGACTCGCTCCTTTAGAAAGTTGGGCTCCTAATGAATCATTCTAGTGTATTAAGCAAATAAGTAAAAAATACCCACTAAATGAATGAGTGTGAAGAAGCATCACGAAACAAATTTAATGCCTTTACCAAAACAACATAATCTATGTTTACATAACGTTTGATAATGCACAGCTTTTTCTTCCACATATAACTTCTACTCTTTAGTAAACGTTTAGAGGTATATGAATTGAGTATTTACCACCCCAAAGACGTGTGGCATATTGTGCTTGTTTATAGGTTGTTGAGAAATAGACTATTTGTAAAGGTTTTCAGTTGAAGATGTTGTACACAGTTCTGCTTGCTCAGGATGCCTGCACTTAGACTGGAATTATCTTGAGAAGCATGAGTATATTCCAGTAGAGAACACTTCTGTAGAAATTACTTTTGCTTTCAAGCAGAAATGGAATTTTAAAATTGCTAGGAGTATATCATTAAGTAACCGCAACAGGGTGATGTATTAAAATTGCATGATGATATTTTTTGTCATCAACCATTAATTCACCCCTCTAAAAGGGTACAATGCTAATGGAATGTATAAAAGTACTGTCATTTTTAGTTCACCTTTTCAAATTCACTTTTCTGCCACTTACAGTAATGGAATAGAAGGAATGGTTAAGTGTACTAATAATCTCACATAGCTAAAGCTTGTGCCTTACTGTAGTCTTTTCAAGCTGAATCAGCAGGGTTCATACTGTCCCAAGATATGGTTCTATATATTGAGAAGGAGTCCTAAAAAAATCAGTGCAGCTTGAGAGCCTTCAGTTGGTTTTGAAGTAATAAGACTGCAGTTAATTGTCCTGTGAAGTTAAAAGAAGGAAAGATCTTAAGGTTAAATGAAACTTTAATGACTTGAGATTTGGGGTTGGTTTGTGGTTTCCTTTGATATTTCCAAAGCATTTACTTAGTATGGAGTAAAATATGCTGGAAAAAGAGCCACCCCCTATCCCTCAGTCTTTCTGTGCCCCATAAAACACACAAACCATCAGTAGCGTCAGTTCTGCAGTTGAATTGTCTCTTTGTCTTCTCTTGCAGGTCTGCTTTAAATCTGATTGCAGTGATGATGAGCAGGAGTCCTCCAGACTTTAAATCATTTTACTCTCATCAGAAAGGATGAGCAAACTTTAAATGTTTTATATCTCTGTAGCAAAGTGTATTATATATATTTTTTATCTGAGTTCAAGGATTTTTGTACATTTGTACTTCATTTGTTTTAAGATGTATATTTTCACTAAAGCTTAATTGTACAAAAAGCAATGAGTGCCATTTGACTGAGTGTGTTTCTGTATGTATTTGATTTATCTTGACTTTTTTTTTTTTTTTTTTTTTTACCAGTGGAATGAATCTAGAAATGCTAAAAGGATTTTAAAGCACAGAGATAATATCTATGGCATCAATGTAACTTGACTTTGTATGCTCCTGGTAAAACTCTTCTTGTTCATTAGGATCTTTATTAGCAGTTTTCTTAACAGTAAAATTGCTGTACTGCTAAATTTCAGAATTCTGGTATTACCTGGCAGCATGGCAGTGCTATTACCTAATGTATCTCTCAAGCAACTCCTAAGGAAAAAAAGGAATTCAGTGCACTGTGGACAGCTATTAAGAACTGCTCTTTAGTGTCTGGCTCTGTAGAATGTCTTTCTGTATTTCTATATATAGAGAATTCTGAACATTTAGCTTAGTCCTGTAACAAACTGTATTACCTTTTCTTCTCCTTTCTACCCATCTTACACATCCCCTCCATACATTTTCTTGGCATGGACCACACAAGTAGACCTGTGCCAAAGCTTTATAACTCTATTTTGAGTATTTTGTTGTCTTTACTAAAATAATTTCTCTTTACCTGTGGGGACACCTTCTTATTTTTTTCTGTAAATGAAATTGTTTACAGCTCCATGTAGGATGTTATAGTTTTATAGTGGGTTAAAAAACAAAGCACGGGCTCTTCTTACTAATCTCCTCTCTACTTATTGTCTTGTAATACGCAATGTTGCAGCGTTGACAGTGATCATTGCCACCAGAAGGACAAGGTAGTATTAAGTATCAAATTTAATTATGTAAATAATCTTTCCTTATAACCTTTAAAAACTTAAACATTAAAACCTGCATTTAATGATTGCTTGATGCAGATGTGGAGCTGGTATTGAAGTTTTAGTTACAATTACCTGATGTTCATTAGTAAAACAGATGCTCGAAAGCTTGTCGAACTTCCATTCTTCTGGACTCGAACTATGCCAGACTTTATGTCTATTTTGTAAAGTTTCCAGTAAAACTCTTAATCTGTGTATGAGAATGAATTAAGGACCACATTTCATTAAAAGCCTCTTCTGTTTTCAAAATTTGAGTTAGGGACTAACTCAGTATAATGGAATGCTCCTGGAGTTGGAGACATGACTTCTGTTACATATTTTGTTCTGTATTCTGAAGATTTGTCTCCACTGAGCATGCTTTTTTTTTTTCCTCTCAAATCTCTAGGGTGCCAACCAGACCACACATATGTACTATACACACAGAGCAACTGAATATCCCTCTACCTCAAATAGGTTTCTGCTCGTGACCCACAGACCCACTGGAAGAAACTTAAGCTGCTTCTGAGAAACTCACAAGATACATTTGACACTCAAGCCTATTGTCAGGTTTTAATCACAGTATTTTGTCTCTAGTGACAAATGTTTTAATGGGTTAGAATTTGAAACAAGCTGGAACACCAGTGTGTTACAGAACCCTGCTGGGGCTGAGCTGGTATTTATCTGAAATTGTTCCTCTTGGCTGCTCTGACACAGAAACAAGGAATGAGACTCTTTTCCTGTGTTTTCAGTGCATTTTTCCCGATGTCTAAAACAGCACAGAGGACAGCAAAATGACTGCCGTAGGAAGTACAAAGGGCAAAATCGGCAGAGGGAGAGTTTGAATGAATTACTGGAAGATAGTCTGATGCAATAGGGAAGGGATGGGAAGCTTGACAGAAAGCAAGGGTGTTGGCTGGAACCATTATATGTGAGACAATGAGCTGGCATGGTCTGACCTGACTCTCTTTGTTATGTACCATAATAACAGAAGGACTCTAAAAAGATGGGAATGGAGAAATAGGGAGGTAGCAAAAATGTTTTATAAATAAGTGAAAATTTTTCTCTGATTAAGGGGTTTACTTTTTTTAAGATTTTGGGCTTGCTGTTCTGAGGCAAAGGTGACCATATTAACAGTAGACATATGGGGTGACAGTCTGGATTTAATGCCTGCTTAGAGCAACTTGGAATTTGGGCAAGAATACCATGAACACAAGCCGAGTAATTTTTATGAAGAAAATACAGGAATTGGCTTTAACAAATTAAAAAAAAAAATCTGTTTATCATGTATTTCAAATTTTCCATATTAGAGGGGGAGAGATCTTAACTTGGAAAAAAAAATAAAATAAACTCTTCTATTTTGGAGTGCTGAGACTTAACACTTATTCTCCAGACTTCTGTGAAGAAAAAAGGCTAGATGAAGGGAAAAGGGAAGTTGTTCCTAAGAAGTGGTTATTTATACATCCGCTTCTTTGGACAAGAGACTCCAACCATTAAAATGTGGAGGATTTATTTGGTTTTATGAAGCTTTATTTAGTTTCATTTTGCAGGTTTTTTCTTATGTTCTAAATAATACTATTGAATTCTTCTTGAGTAACTGCATGGTTGCAGGATTAGGACCTAAATTCTGTTGGTTTTAGGGATTTGTTTGTTTGTTTTTCCCCAGCAAGTTCAAGATGGCATTTTTCTACTATAAATTTGTCCCTTTTGGCTAGAAATATAACTACATAATAATGATATTATCTAATGTGAATCCCCTAATGAATTAGAAAAGACAAGAAACTGGAAGGATCAGCATAGCTCTCCTTATATGGTATGGTATGCTGTTTAGTCAAAGGTGACTAATATTGGTTAAATGTCTTTACTGGAGTATTAGTAGCTTAGAGATGTATTTTGAAAGCGTGGAAAGAGTAGGGAGAGGGGAGAGCACCTGAAAGGAAAATACTGTGGTGTGATAAATTTAATATGAACTTTGCTCTTGATTTCTGTAGGACACAACTGAGATGAAGGGGGGAGGCAGCAGCTTGTGTTTACTGATTATGTAGCCTTTTATTTCTATGAAGCTGTTTTAAAAAAAAAATTAAAGCCAACATACATGCTTGTCATTCAGTATGACTTCATTATACATCCATAAATTCAGATCGTAGATCCATGTATTAGAAGGCTTTAATAGCAGTGAGACAATCCGACAGCCTGACTGTTTTGTTCTACTGGTGCAAGATACAGGAAGATCTGTGGAATTCTGTGGAGTTCCTTGCATGAGATGAACCCTCCTTTTCTGTGGCTTGTATTTCCAAGCATTTGTGTAAGTCAGTCTTAATGTCTGCTTGTGCGTACCTCATGAATCTATGTAAGTAGCTCAAAATTCAGAAATGGTGAAACAATGTACCAGTATCTTATTGGTTTACATAATGCTTTTGAATGTTGTAACCAACAGAATAGATTCTTCATGCCTTTGGGTTGTTCTCTTTCTATAAAAAAATATCATCAGCTCCGCCCCCCCCTCCCTCCAGAGGTATAGTGTTCATAATAGAGATGGTGTTATGTTTCCAGATTATAACAACAATACAACAGTCTCAGTTGAAAAAATGAGCACTTAAAAATAATTACTGTATAATAAAAAACCCAAAGTATTTCCATAACAAAGAGAGCGCTATTGACAAATCTCAGTTTTTAATAGAAGGTGTTGTCTTTTTTTCCCAAATAATTCTTAAAACAATAGATCAGAATTTTTTTGATTGGGAAAGAGAATTATCTCCATCTTAGAATAAAATTATGTCTAATTTAAGAAACCAATGATAGAAGCTATTAAAAACAACTAAAAATGCATTTTTAGAATGCACTTCAATTATTTTTCAGAATACTGATGTAACTAATTTCTCATTGCTAGTTGTACAAATGAAGAATACTGTTTACAAATTACTAAAATAAGTCAACAGAAAAAATATTATTTTGCTTTGGTTTACAATTTAGTATTACACTAACTTAACATTGGAATCATCATCTTCACTTTAGTATAGATTTTCAGAAAATACTTCTCTTTAGGAAGTGCTCAAAATTTGAATTAAAATTAAAAAAAACTAATTGAAAACATCTTTTAAGCTAAATTTATGTTTACTCTGGTGTGAATTACCCGCCTGGCTCATGTTGGCAATGATGATGTCTCTTCTGCTGACTGTACAAATCTTTTTTATTTCATAATTGCTCTTACAATGTAACTTAAGTTTTGCACATGAGACGTAGGTAACTTTTCTCATGTTCCACATGTGTCCAAAACACCAGAATTCTTTCCAAGTATAGCAAAGCTGACTGTTAAATGTGATGTGTTAGTTCCAGTATCTCCAAACCACTGAACTCTTCTTGTATGAGCTGTTTTCCTGGATGTTCTAGCATTGTTATTCCTGAAATAAAAGCAAAACACTGCCACATTATCTCAACCACATGTATTGCTGTGTAATGTGATTTAATTGCCATGTCTATCATGGTACCCAGGATAGATAAAAATTGTAATTAAAAAAAATTTCACAGTTTGTTGAAGAAGAAGAAGAAGTGTATTTATATGCTCTAAATTCTTTACCGATGTAAGATTGTCAGATCCAGAAAAAAGTGCCCTAGCTCTGTTGTATTTGCTCAATTGGTACCTTATCTCATGGTCTGAATCTTGAATTCAGTGTAAAAAGACAGAATTATTGGAAGGGGCTGTTTTTCATTTACACATTATGCTGTGATAACACTATGAATGTGAATGCAAGAGTGGTCAGTAGTAGCTGTAGCTCTACTTGTCATCAGCCTTATCATGCATATTGAACTGTCTACTATCGCCAAAGGAAACTAACCAGACTTCACTCTCCTTGAGAGAATTTGTACCTTGGTATTAGTTGGATTTGTGGGTTTTTTAGGTCAAATACTTTTCAACAGCAGGCGGCTTGTATTTCCAACATTTTGCCCTGTTTGTGCAAAGGCTTTCACTGTAATTTTATGACATGAGTTAAGAGCTTAGCATTCCAATTACTATGCAAAACAGCTTCAAAGTAACTTTAACAATGATATAACCACACGATGGCATATTGCAGATTCTGTGCATACATGTTGAACTACATGGGCCAGCAGTCTCATGAGGTCTATTGGATTGAGTAGTACCAACTAGCTGCTGAATTGTTTGTGGAAATGCAGAAATACTGGCCTCC